TTTTCTAATAATAGTTTTATTGAAAAAATTAATATTTTGTACTTATGTTTTTGTTGCACCAAAACCGCCAGCATTTAAACGGAAAAGATAATGAAAAACGAGAAGAAAAAAGTCTCTCCTCTTTTTGAATCTTATTTGCTAGCGAAGGACAAAAAATGGTCAAATTTCCTTATTTATAAATGTTGATTTTCGTGTTTTGTTGATTCACGTCTTGCTGTTTATTTCTTCCTGACTAATAAGTTGCTTTTTATTTATCAAGTTTGAGGGAAATAAATGATGATAGAAGAAAGTAAAATTAAATAGAGACTCAAATCGGGTTGGGGTGTGATATATTTACAAGGTAGCTGAAATTCTAAAAGCTAGCGGTACGATAATTTGTAGAAGATTAACCAGCATTGCTGGCTTCCAAAAAATTACAAGTTTGTAACCGAATTCGTTGAACTGCATGCACATGCACACTAATACATATTCATTCTTTTTTCAAAATATTTTTATCTTGCAATTTTTATATATTTTGACGTAAATTTTCGATTTAATTCGAGGCTTCATAGTACCTCATCGAAATAGACTTTCATTTTCATTAAAAACTCCAATTACGAAGACTAATTCTTTGAAAATGACCTAAATTAATTAATTTATAATCTAACTCGCAAAGACGCCTTCCAAAAATCTCCAACCAAAAAAGCGGCTCAAAAAATTAAACAAACCGAGATACTGAATTTCCTTAAAATTTATCTAATTTATAATGAAATTTGTTAATAAGCAAACTTTTTAGTCAAATTTAGGGAATTTTAAGTTAAATATCTTTGATAATACATAATATATTTTATTTGAATTATTTAAAATAAAGATAGTTGTTTAATTGATGGCTTGTAACAGTTTCTTTTTATTTCAATGTTATTTTTGTAAGTTGGCCTTAAGCCAACTAATACTCATTTATTCTGAATCAAATATTCTAAATAATTTTGTGATTTTATGAAATAGCATTTATTCCGATTTCCAACTAGTGAACTTATATTTTTTTCGAATTTTTAAAATTCAGTTTTTCAATAAATCACAAAAAAATTTTATTGGTAAATGTTTAGCCCTTTAATTAGGTAAATGTCCAGTTGGCGGTCTACATGTCCGCAAAGAGAATCTGCTCTTTTCTTTCCTTTTTTTGCATTTTTTGCGCTGAGAGAAGTGCTCCGCTCATTTTTCATTTTTTGTCATTTTTCCTTTTCAATACAATATGATTTCATTTTCCTAATTGCAAAATAAAAATGATACCTCTAATTTAAATAATTTATTTTACACATGAAGGATTTTGGATTATAAAAAGTACAATGATAAATTATGAAATATTGGAGATTATTGCGTATAGAAACTTTCTATGGCTACACATAAAGTTAAAAATTTAAATCTTTCCTGATACAGCAACCTTTAGTAGCGTTTTTGCCTCTAAATTTTTGTATGTTAGTTTATTACTGTTTTATTGTGGGCATTATTTTAAAATAATCTGTTAATTTTATCAATTTATTGTCGTTAATCAACGACATACAAAAATAACATTTAACTACCTGTACAATTCTACAAGAATTATATTTAATTATTCCTTTAAGCAAACTTAAATTAAATAAATAATATTATTCAATAATTTAATTTTGCTTGATAAATTCATTGGTACCCATGCACGCAAAATATGTTTTATTCAAAGTCAAATTTAACAAAAATTATAAATGACCGCATGTTTTATTTGAAATATTACGTACTGTATTTTTGCAAGTTGGCTCTTGACCCAACTAATATAAATTTCTTTATGTAGAATAAAATTTTTGATATTCCAGTGTTAAACATAATTCAACACATATTCCAGTGTCGAGGAATAAATTACCGTATTTCTTCTAATAGTGCGACCGGTCGGTCTATTTTTCAACCATGCTCTAGAGGGTCGGTTTATTAGAAGGGGTCGGTCTAATAGAGGGAGTCGGTTTATTTTTCAATACTGAAAATTAGAGATCGGACAAACTGCAAAATCAAATATTTGATAAAATTATTTAAAAATTATTTGATATGTGAAAACGCTGGAAATAAGGGGGTCGGATTAATAGAAGGGGTCGGTCTAATAGAAGGAGTCGCACTATTAGAAGAAATACGGTATATAACAGCTCTTGATCCTTTTTAATTACTTCAGGTCCATTATTAAACTTGTAAAAAAATAAAAAATTGTGTTGATCAAAATGTTTTATGTCGTTAAAGTCCTTATCGATTCCAGTTGCTAAAAAAGTGTCACTTAATTTTCCCCCAAAATTTTTTCAAGTGTCTTCGATCATGTACATTTACCGCGTAATAGCTTCATCCAATAAATTAAAATGCAATAAAAGTTAAATATAAAGAATCTTGGTTAATTTGAATAAAATTTACGACCAAATTAGACTAAAAATCCAGACCTGCTCACGGATACGGATAATATCCGTATATCCGCGGATACGGATGAATATTGATAGTGTTTTTTTAAAAAATTGGACGGATACGGATATGAGCTTACATATATGAGCTTACATGGATACGTATATGAGCTTCAAAAAGGATAAATCTGGCTTTTAAATTAGAGTCCAGATTCTACTTAATATTGAATTTAAAATATAAACTTTTATTTATAATCTAAATAACATCGCCTATGAACTCCTTTCCCTACTAATAATAATTTTGGATGTGGATTGGTATATCCACCAACTAATGATTATATAAAGATTTTCTTAGTTTTCTTTACTCAAATTGGAAAACAAATTCATTGTCAGAATTTATTCTTTAATTTTCTAAAATTATTTTTAAAAATCCTAACTTTATCCGTTTCCTTCAGTTTATTTTCAATAAAAAGTCTAATATTCTTATTTATACATAGATATTTTTTGTCTGTTTTAGAGTCATCGTAACTAAAAGCAATTTGAATAAAACTTGTTTTTAAAATATTTCTTTAAATTATCTTTATTCTAATTTCAAATTTACTTTAAAATAATTTATCGTATGTTTAAAAAAATTTATATCTCATCTTCTTTAAATTCAGAAATTCTGATATTACTTTATTTACCAAAAATTTCTATTTTGTTATCTGGACCAGTAATTTGAATTTTATTGTTGCCGGAAACATCTTCAACATCTTCAACGTGCATCTGAAAATATACAGATTAAAAAATTCCATATTTCGGCATATTTTATAAAACTAGTATTATGTAGAACCCCGACTATGTAGAGGTAGACAACAGAAAGTTTATCACACGTAAAAAATACAAAGAAGATGAAGATTGGGGTAGGAGGAATAAGATGAGAGAGACAGTGATGCGGGGGTTCCGGAACCGGAACCTTGGAACCGGCAAAGGTCTGGAACCGGTTTAGAACCGGTTCCAGAACCGGTTCCAAAGATACACCTCTAATGATGGGTAAAATCAGAGAAATGGGCAAAAGATGGGAGTAGTGAGAAGAAAAGGAATGTTGTGTCTCTGAATGATGTGTGGATGACTGGATATGTGTTGTGTTCTTAGTTTTGAGGACTTATCTGTGTATTAGGTTTGAACCCGGACTTAATGAAGAATTAAGTCATAGTTTTTCTTTGAGAAAATTCCAAAATTCTCAAAATTTTTGCCCGCGGCTCAGAAAAGGGAATGATGTGTGGAATCTGGTGTCTTACCCTTCCAAAAATTTTAAAATTCTCGCCTGCGGCGCTTAACCCCGTTTTCCGTTGAATTGTTGTTGCGTCGTCCAACCTGACCCGGATCCGAAATTTTCGATCACCCCAAAAAATGTTTGGTCCCTTTTTCGATTTTCGGAGGCTTATATCTCAGCGAGTTTTCGACCCCCGCAAGAAATTCTTGCATATTTGAACTCGGCTCGAAGAGACGAATTGAATGATATATTCTTCGAGTTTGGATCTCAGTGGGCCTATGCTAATTTAAAGCTAAAATTTTTTGGAACCGGAACCGGGCACATTTTGGAATTTCCGCATCACTGGAGAGAGAGTACGAACTATTGGCTGGCTTCTATACTAAACTCTATAAGTGCTGTCGCCCATACACAACAATTATTCTTCATGGAAACTGTACGTTTCACAATTCTAACCTCTACTAAAACACCATATTTGGGCTTTAGAACCAAGGCATATCAGCATACAAAACATGCATTTTCATGTTTTTTGAATAAATATATATGTATAAGAACATTATCTTAATATTCTATAATTTAATCTTAATATCTTACAATAATTTTATTAATTCCACCGTTTATATCTGTAATATATCCTGTCGGTTTTAATTTTTTAAATTCTTCAAGAAATGTATAATATGAAATCTTTTTTTGATCAACGTAAACATAGGCGCCATTTACGTGGATTTCAACTGATTTTGCTTTTATAATTTCAACTCGATCAAAATTGTAATGCTTAATATAATCACCAAACATCAATAATTTATTTATATTCCCATTTATTTTTAAATTGTCAGCTTGTTTAACTTCATCATTGATTTGGACAAGAATTTTGTCAGAGAAAACAAAAATTTTAAAATCGTTTTTAGCCGGATTTGATGTTGAATTTCCTTCCTTTCTCCAAAATTTAGATAAGAGCCAAGATCCAAAAGTAAAAGGCCATGATCTTCCGATTGAAGACGTTCCTTCTTAAATTTTATTTTATAGTCATCAACTGGCTTAACTCGGTATTAAATTTAAAAAAAGGTATTTGATAATCTTAATAATCTCAATTAATAATAAATACTATATCCCTGCAAATAAAAAATTTTTGCCTAATTGTTTAAGCTCTTTTGAACTGAACCGTTTAAGCATAATTAGTTGACAAATGAAGCGGGAGCCTTTTTATAATTTCATCTGGGACAATTCATCTATCCCGGATAGACTAACAAAGGATGTTGGTTCCCGACCTAAATACAACGTATATATATAGTAATTGCTATTGTTTAAAATATATGAAAATAGACGTTATTATTAATCCGGATTCTAAAAAATTAACTTGATTACTCTTGTAATCGATTGACAATTACATAAAAACAATTTAAATAACAAAATTTATAACCTTGTGATTCGTCTGATGAATCTGATGAAGTTTCATCAGATGATTTATATGCTCCTTGATACGATGAAGATGCTTCTCCGTGCGTTGTAGATGCTTCTCCAGATGTAAATGCCCCTTCAGGCGGTGTAGATGATCTTCCAGATGTAGAGTCTCCTTTAGCCGTTGTAGATGCCCCATCAGAGGCTCTAGATGATTCTCTAGGCGTTGCAGATGATCCAGATGTCCTTTCAGATCTTCCAGATGTAGATGCCCCTTCAGGCGTTTCATAAAATGATCCAGAGGATTCTTGCAATTTTTTGTCATAATCTCTCCGTTCTTTCTCATTAGTAAGAATGTCACGAGCATTATTTATTTCTTGTGAAAATCTCAAAGCAATCGGATCATTTTTAGTTTTGTCCGGATGATATTTTAACATTAATTTCTTGTGTGCTGTTCTAATCTCTTTTGTTGATGCATTCTTTGGAACTCCTAAAGTTTTGTAATGGTCAGGTATTGACTCAACCATTACGAGGAAAATTAGCAAGAAAAGAGAAATTAAATTAAAATGCATCTGTAAATAGAAATAAGCTGTCATTAAAAATTATTATTATTGGTTAAGATTAACTTTTATGAACAAAAAATTTATCTAAAAAATTAAGATAAACTCCTGATTTACGATAAAAGTTCTCGTAAATCACAAGCTATTTATCCCCTAACTCATACTCGCTCGACCCGAAACTTGAAAAATCGAGCGAGCCAAGGCCGAGGCTCTTCAGCTTCTTCACTCAAAAACAACCAAGCTCGAAAAATATGCACAGAACGTCGGCTTGAACCGAAAACGGCAACCCTAGCCATATTTATTATATAGCCCTATTTGTTATACACTTGTCCAAAAAACTTCTATTTCGGCTTTCTATTTGACTACATAAACAAATATCAGTCTTCGATAAAACTAGATTATTTTGTGATATTTTTGAGTGAATTGAATGCTGATAAAATTAAAACGGGCTAACAAAAGGTCTCAAACCGTTTAAAGGAAATTAAATAATAGCGCCGTTTAGAGGAGTAAATGATTTAAATTAAAAATAGTATAAAGTCTTAGCTATAAAATTATATAAATATTATTTAAAAATAAGAAAATGCCGACTAATTAATTCAATAAATAAAGACGTAAAAGTGCAATTTCAAAATTAAAAGTAAATATGTCTGATCACATGTTTTTCTGATAAGACGCTATTTCAAAATGACCGGATATTTGGCTGTTTTTATATTTAAAGACAATTTGTAAAACAATATTTGGTAATAGTTTGGAATTCGCCCCCTTTTTTTCATTGTTTCACTGAACATTTTGAGCTTTTTTGTTTGATACATACTTTATCATATATCAGTCGAAAGAGCTCTTCGAGCGTGGTCGAATTATACCATGATTGGCCAGATCTGATCAATCTTACCAAAATTATGAAGCTAAATCCTAGTTGGGTAAACTTTTGTGCCAATGCATGTGGATAAAGCAAACGGTTACAACTTTGTTCCGTTAAGTCAGATTTTGTTAATTTGAGGGTCATTCGACTCAGCTTGAAGAGTTCTTTCGAATGATATTTATATAATTTGACATAAAATAAGAAAAACTAGGAAAAAATTGAAAGGAAAAAAGTGAGGGGGCGAATTCCAAACTATTACCCAATATTTTGCCCAAGGTTTATTTCCAAAAATTAGACTTAGAATGCTGTGGCCAATAATAATATTATAAGAGGAAAATCCTCGTATATTTTGCTCCAAATGAACGTCTTTATTCTTTACCTTACTTAGGTTTAAACGAATAATACACATATACCTTAGCGACACGTTCCTACATTTATATTTTTTGGATGCAATGCTATAGCATTAGGCAAATGAGAACGTTCAAAGCTTAATTTTGATTCCCTCAATGGGTAAATAAAATAAGTGCCGACTGTAGTTAAACTTCAATTGTTTATTAACAGCCTGTTCACAAACTCGACTTTGTTGTAATTCTTGGTACACCTTGCCAAGAGGTGTACCAAGAATTACCCACGAAGCCCTAATTTGGTCAGAATACACGTTGAGCAAATTCAGTCCATCACGGTGACTAAACTTTTACTTAACCTTTCTTCAAGAAGACCTTTCTTCAAGAGATACTTAAATTATTTGTTAGTACAAATTAAATAATAAATGTTTTTTTAATTTTAAATTGTAAAAAGTTTAAATAAAATGTAGTGAGTTGCCCCAGTTGTGACAAGGTCTAAATAATATTTTTGTAAATTGGATATTCCAACTAAGGATTTTACTCGTACATTTAAGAGAGAAGTTGTGAACTGCGTTTAGCTAGGTAAATTCATGTAATAAGGTAAATCGCGGATAATCTAATCAGGTAATTTAGATAAATTCAGTACCAACACTTCTCAACTTTACGTTGCCGTGAAAGTCACTCGCTTGTTGGAGTCAGGTATCCTGTTGAGACGTTCAGCTGCTGGGAGCCTTTCATGTGATAAAAATATGCGCTGCTTTGCCTAGTTTTAACTAGGCAAACCTCAATTATTAACTGTCAAGGCCAGCTTCCAAAAAATTACAAACAAATTATAGCTAAACGTTGGACAACCAATCCAACATTATAAGCTTATTTTAAATCTCACGTTATTTAAAACTTAATAACTTTCAAATTAATCACATTCTTATTTTGATTTACTGAATAAAATCTTGCTATCACTAGACAAATAAAATATTTAATTTAAAAAACATCACCATGAATTAAAAATTTTTTAATCAAATTTGAGAAATTGTAATGACAGATTTCCATATACCCAAGTTAATAAATAAAAATATGTTTTATTTTAAATAGGATCTTACAAAAACTATAATAATTCTTTAATTGATGCAAAAATTTATTAGATTTTGGATTTTATTTTTGCAAGTTGGCTTTGACTCAATTAATATATGTATATACCGTCTTTAGGTCTCCTTCTTATTCTCCAGATATTTAACTTAGCACATAGAATTTTTGTCAACGAACCAAAACTAAACGAAACATTTACAACAATAATAAAAATACCATAAACTTCGCCGAGGAAATTTTGTCAAAAATATACCCCCAAGAACTAGTTCCAGAACTAGTTCCAAAGCTAGCTACAGACATTTACTAGTTCCGTAGTTCTAGATATGGAAATGGAACTAGAACTAATTAGTTCCGGAACTGGAACTTTGACATCACTTATTACGCATGTAGGTTATTTCTAGCTTTGTGATTAAATAAATTTATAAAACATTTACTTTATTTTCGAACCAATATATGTAAATTAGTGAGCAGTCAATTAATGCTCACAATTCCCGATTATTAAGAATTCCTAAGAAATTATAAGAAGAGAGATATAATTATATTAATATTTGCTTAAGTCTTGCTTAGCATCCAAAAAATACAAAAAAGAACATTCGAATCATATTATTATCCAAATTGATTCAAACATTTTGATTAAACTTTATTTAAATTAAGATATATTGTTCATAGAGATAATTCATTCTCCTTAATTAGATTTTAAAGGAATACATTTTAAGGAGCAGTTAAGTAACAGTATGAAAATTAAGTAATGAGAAAGGACCAAGTTGAGTGTTTTTTCAAAAAATCTAGACTATCAGGATGCAAATTTCTGATACAATTTAATGTATTAAAACTTAAGTTTAAGCCTTTTAAATTTTGTTTGCCATTTGGAGAACTTCGCTGTTACCTGCGTTAGTCCCGACATGTAAAAATATATTTTATTTAAAATTTACATAAATTATAAAGTTATGAAGGCAAGTCCAGTAGGATGGTGACATATTTTTGTAAGTTGGCTTTTGCTCCAACTAAGATACAGCGGACTTATTTTCTCATTTAAATTTCTTATTAATTTTATAAAAGAAACTAGCGTTTGGGGCGTTGCCACTGGGCATGGGAGAAACTGCTGTCTCTAGCGTTATTGGTTGTGGGTATAAGGTAGGGTATATAAAAATTTTGAAAAAACTCGAAAAAAATTGTTATTAACACTTTTATGAGGATCATTGTTTATTTTGAACTTAAATTAATTTTTTACTTGAGGACAGGTGATCAGAAAATTTTACAAAAATTATTTTTAGACTCAGCTTGATAAGAGCTTTCGAATGATATATAATTTGACCCATTTATCTTTATTTTGGGAAAAAAATTTTTTTGGCCGGAAATCATGGTCGAAAAATTGCTAGAAATTTTTAAAAAATTATAACTTTTCCTAAGTATAACTTTTTAAAATATTTTTAAGTTGTATATTATGTAGAAAAATTGGCTTTTTACAGGAAAAATCATTTCACTCAGCTCAAACGTCGAAAAACCAAACAATTTTCGAAAAACCGAAAAATTTTGGATTTTTTAAAAATTGACCCCTACTCCTCCAGGTAAGAAAATTTTCAAAGTTTCTTTATCTTAAAAATTTTGTAATTTTTTACTCTTATTCATAAAAGAAACTCCATACGAAAATATAAATTTATTAAAAAGTTATTGCAATTCAAATATTTCCAAATTTTTTTGAATAGGGGTACCCATATGGAAAAAATCGAGGAAATAAAAGGTTTTAATTTTAGCTGAAAAATATGATTTATAGTGGAACAGTAAACGCTAAATTCAAATCCGTTCTCAGAAAAATTCTCCAAAAATTTTCCACAAAGTTAGCGTCCTAGAAATATTTTATTCTCAGACATATTTTGCAATTTTTTCAAATTCTATATTTTTGGATGGAGATAAAATTTAAAAAATCAGGCTGGTCATTATTTAGTAATTTCAGTGCCATGGCTTATCCGAAAAGTTTGAGTTAATTTATTTAGACATTATCTAGTTTTCTTTGATTATAAGAAAATCGCTGTTAATTGTAAATAAATTACATTCAAAATTTTTAGATAAAAATCAAATTTAAAAATCTGATTGATCATTCTTTCCATATAAAGAATTTTCTTAAAATATATAACTTAATATAAAGTAAGTTTTAAACTATTTGTAGGTCAATACTTTTAATAAAAATATTAACAACGAAAATTTAAAATTTTACTTTTCAAAAATTTTTTTAAAACAATTATTAAAATAGAATAACTTAACAAAAAATATCACAGATAAATTATAATGTAAAAATATAAGGAGCCAAAAATAGTGAAAATTGGAATTCTTAGGAATGAGTGAGATGCATTACACATCCCTCCCCAAACCTAAAATAAAAGTTATGTTACTTTAAAAACAAAATTTAAATAAAAATTTTTCTGGCTCAATATAAAGTAGGTAAATATTTTAAATGAAAGAAAGCAAAAAAATAAGCAAAAATAAAATAACACAAAATAAATGAAACAAAACATAGTTATCAAGAAAAAATATAAGGAGCCAAAAAATGTGAAAATTTGAATTCTTAGGAATGAGTGAGATGCGTTACACATCCCTCCCCAAACCTAAAATAAAAATTATTGTTACTTAAAAACGAAATATAGTTATAATTTTGTTTTGGCTCGATATATAAAAATAACACTTAAACATTTAAATTAAAATAGCAGAAAATAACAGAAAAATATCCTAAACAAAATATAATTAATAAAAAATATAAAAAGCCAAAAACTGTGAAAATTTGAATTCTTAGGAATGAGTGAGATGCATTACACATCCCTCCCCAAACCTAAAATAAATGTTATGGTTACTTTAAAAACAAAATTTAGAGATTAGTTTTTTGGCTCAATATATAAAAAGCAACTTGAACATATTTAAATTAAAATAGAAAATAAAATAAACAAACAAAATAATATCACTAACATGTAAACCAAAAAATAATTAAAACATCAAAAGAACCAAAAAGAATAAACAAAGCATTTAAAAAAGTGTAGATTCAAAGAATTGATAACTCAATAGCCAAAGAAATAAAAATCCATAAAATTAAAAAACCAACACTCCAAACATCCACAACAACCAAAATATTTTCAACAAAACTCGTTTTCTTTCTTAACAAAAAGTTTAAAATTATTTAGTCATATAAACTACATACATTTATCCAAATAATCTCAATAACTTTCTCCAAAATCCAAAAACTTTATAATCCAAAACAAACAACGAAAAAAGAACCAACAATTTAAACAACATAAATCCTATCCAAAAAATAATTCAACATCCAAAATATACTCAAAATAGATCACATTTCCTCCTGAACAAAAATTTTAAATATTTTCCATAGTTTAAAATGCATACATTTATCCAAACAATTCTCAATTTCTTTACCAAAAATCCAACAAATTATATCATAAACATTCAACTAACTTAAAATCAACCATCTAAACCACATAAAAGTCAATCCAAAAATAATTCAGCATCCAAAATAAATCAAAATAAATCATCTTTCCTCCTGAACAAAAAGTTGAAATTTAATAAAGAATTTAAACTACATACATTTAGCCAAAGAATTCTCAACATTTATCCAGACAATTCTCAATTTTCTTCAAAAAACCCAAAAACTAATAATCCAAAACAACCAATGAACTTAAAATCCAGAACATCCAACAAACTTAGAATCAACCATTTAAACAACATAAATACTATACAAAAAATAATTCAACATCCAAAATATATTCAAAATAAATCACTGTTCATCCTTAAAAATTTTTTAGATATTATCCATAATCTAAACTAAATACATTTATCCATAAACTTCTCAACTTCTTTTCCAAAACATCCAAATAAATTAGAATTACAATTAACTTGAACCCAAACAAATTGTTAACCAAAACATCCAAAAAACAATACAAAATATCCAAATAATATAACAAATTCAAAACAAATATCACCCAAGAAAATATCACCCATACAAATTCCTGCAAAACAAAATTTTTAAATATCATTTAAAAATTCAAACAGTTACAAAAATTATAATCAAATCATAGTACAATTCAAGCAGATATTCTAAATTCGCAAAACTTTCCAACCATCAAAATATCATATTCATTCAAAATTATTATTGCGGTGTCCAAGGTTCATTTGGAACGTCGCCTAGCAGATTTAAAACTCTAACATTTTCTTCACCATGTTCTTCAGGCATTGGACGCTTAAATTTTTAATTAATTTTTAGTATGTGAAAAATATTCTACCAAATAAATTGGTCGATAATGCACGCCTTCAAGTCGGAGGATGATGGTATTGTCCATGTTATGTGCACGAAGAATTTGAAATACTTGTCCAAAATCCGTGATGTTTGTCAAACCCATCTCTTCTGCTGAAAGGCCAGGAGAGAGGAATATTCCTTGATATTCATTGGGCATAATTCTCCATTGAACACGTCCATTTCCATCAACCAATCGTCGTCGGAGATTTTCAATGATGAGAATGCGGCGTCCAAGAACAATTTCAGCATAACGGATTTCAAGATGAGATCCATAGCGTGTGTTGTTGTTGTTCGCTGGTTGCATCATGTGAAGACTATATTCTCGCATAGATCTTCGTGGATCTGTCACATCCAAACGAAGTCCAGCCTGTCGAATATGTGGAGCATCCCATTCGATCTCGTGAATGCGCTCATCAGTGAGATGTTCATCTGCGATGTTATGCAGGTCTTCTTGATATCGGCGTGCAATAAGCCTTCTTAGTCCTCGTTGATAGTCTTCATATAAATAATTCATGTGTAAAGCTAAGTCTTCCGATCCAGCATATAATGCACGAACAATAGACCTATATTATTTATTATAAAAATAGGATTAATCAATTAACCGAAATAGACAATCTCCATCTCCGAGCACATTATCAAGAAAATAATTTGGCAAATCAGCAGATCTTTGCTGTGTATTTTGTTCAATAGTTGGTGATGTTGTTGCCTGTGTAGATTCAGTAGCCGATGTTGTTGGCTGTTGTGAAATTAAAGCATTAGCCGATGTTGTTGGCTGTTGTGTATTTAATGCATTAGACGATGTAGTTGTCTATATTAATTAATAATTTGTAAATGTTATTAAAAACTACCTGTTCATGGGGAATTCGTTCAATAAGAACTGGTTCATCGCCTGATGACATGGCGAGTTCCATTGGTCCAATCTCGTTAAAGTCTTCTTCGTCAATCATTGCAGGAATGACTGGGTTCTTCACTCTGCGATCTTTGCGGAGTGTAGCGACTTTAACACTTTCTGCGTCCCGTGCTCGTGAGAGAGCCACATAGAGTTGTCCATGAGAGAAGCACTGTGAATGGTCGAGTGCAACTCCAACGCGCGAAAGTGTTTGGCTAGAATATATTTTTTATAAATATATAATAAGATTATTTACCCTTGTGACTTGTTGATAGTCATAACGGCACCAGGACGCAACGGAAATTGAACGCGCTCACATCGAACCATCCCTTCTTGCGGAGCCTTTGGGTCAGCACCATATTGAAACCTTGTTCTAAACAAATCATGCTCAATGCCTTTTCCAGAGCCAGATAAAATTCGGCAGCGAATCAAATTTTGGCCCAAACCAACAATTTGAATTCTAGTTCCATTGCACAAGCCATTTTGAACCTTAAGTATTAAAATAACATTTTTAAAACTAATATTTAATACAGATAAGTTAATAATAAGCATCATAACAGATCCAATACGAACGCGAAGTACATGTTCTGGGATTCCAGGCGGTGTTTGCCTTGTTAAATTTTCATAGTCGATATCAGAAATATTGTTTTCAAGATTCGCATCATCCATAATCGGTGTGGTGATAGAGAAATAAATTTGTTCATGTCCGGCAATACGATCCTAGAAGGTAAATATATCAAATAGAAAATTAGATAATACCAAGATAATATTATTCATTTCAAATGTTTCAGTGTTGAGTGGGCATAAGATGGCACGTCCACAGAACTCTTCCCAACGATGAATTGCAGATTGAAGCAGATCTTGCGGATAAACAAAGTTTATCAGTTCTTCTCTCGAGTTAACACAAATGCCAACAGGGAGTTGAACTCGCTCATCTGAATCATTTAAAACTCCAGTTCCGACGCATTTCAGCAAAGTCCTGTATTGTTCTTGACCAGGTTGTAATCGAAGATTTGAGTGTAATTTTCTCGTAACAAAGTTCTTGAAAAGTGCCGTGTTCTTTATCGACGCGTCAAATTGATGTAACAATGTACCACCAGCGACGACAGGAAGAAGTTGTTTCCAATCTCCTCCAAGAACAACACACTTAAAAATTAAATTATATTTAAAAATTATTTGTAAAGTTACTTTTCCACCAAATGGTACATTCTTCAGTGGTCGCGGAGCAACTGATCGAAAAAGGCGATCGACAAAGTCAATGACATCCTTATGCTGCATACTAATCTCGTCAATAATAATTCCGTGAAGTTTTCGGATGGTATCTGCGAACTGGCTTCGATAGTCGACAAATGGTTGAGTAGACGAATCAACATGTTTTTGGCGGCAAAGTCGTTTATGAACAGTTGCTCCACCATAAAGAAGCTCAGCAGCTATACCGGTACTCGCCATAGGCATTATCTTGAATTCGTTTGCGTGCAGAAAAGCAATCAATTTCTATAAATGAAATTTTTATACTAAATTTAATTGTATAACATACATTATACATGAACGTTTTGCCAGAACCTCCTTCTCCTGTTATGAAGAAATTACGTGGAATGTCTTGCGCAAAAGATGTTTCTGAACCGTCGATGACATGACGTGCGCTCCACATACCTCGAACGATTTCGTCAATAAAGTGTTGTTGTTCCTCAGTTGGGCGAGGATCACTATAAAACAGGCGAAGATAGTAGTCTTGTGTTGAGCCTCTTTGGTGTTCTTCTAAGAAAGGCGTATCAACGTGTGTTCTTATCATCATTTCAGGATCAATTTCGGCGTCATTCAGCAATTCAGGTTGGATGTTACGGCAAGATGGACGTGGAAGACTATAATAATAGACATTTCAATATAAGTTAAAACAATTACCGAATCCTTTCACAAGCCGTTTCAAATGTACCATCCTCTCTTTCAATCTCATCAGGTCTAATGCCATTTGCTCTCAAAAACCACTCAATATTACACAAAACATAATCGCGTCTAGCTTCAAAATCCAGTTGAGCAACACGAGTCCCATACTTAATATAAAATAAAACAAAATATTCTATATGATACATACAAGCCAATCTTCCGGCAATTGAATAACATAGTCTAGCAAAGCAGTCGGATTAGTCAGATTCGTAGATCCAAAAAACATGGCAAGCCAACGAATGCGCTGTTGAATGCGCTTATTAGAATCAAAAGCTTCTTGAATCGTTCTTCTCCAAATTACATCGTCTGACATTAGTCCTCTAACCTTAGCAGCTTCTAAAAATGTTGGGTAGACAACATCTTCAAAAGTGCGCAGGTCCTCCCAGCAAGTGGGATCAACAACAACAGTTAGCAAGATCTAAATTTAAAGTAAATTTAAAAATTTGATTTTAAATACTCTAATTGCAAGAAGCTCCAAATTAGTTGGCGAAACTGTCCGCATTCGGCAAAGTTTCTTCTGATGGCGGTATACAGAAATTTGCCAGTTCTTTTTATGGACATTATAGCGAAGTTGTTTGTAGGCATTACTATAAGTCAAGCCAGCAGGTGGTTCACCAATTAATTGTCTTTGACGATTGAAATCGAAATAGGCAGTTAATTGGGTGCGGCGTTCTTCTCCTTCCTTTAATCTCCTTTGAACTTCCTCAGCAATCTCTAACTCTCTTCCTTCTTCAATCGCTACATGATGTCCCTGTGGTCCGTGGATGTCAAGCTCGTCAACCTAAACGAAATAATTTAAAAATAAAATAGAAAAAATAAATACAATATGAGATCTAACAACCAATTTTGTACCCCAAAGGGACAAAAAAGCCTCCATAGACGTAACATAACGGGCGAGACGAAGTTGATGAAACTCGTCGTACCTCCAAGCACCTCCTTCAACGCCTTGTTCAATTCTAATGAATGCCATATCGGCTCCTTTCATCACATATTTAGTCACATATTTTACACATCCATCTCCAGCTACAAGCTCAACGTTAATGCTAAACAAAAAATTAAATTGTATTAAAAAATAAATATACTGTGATCTGTATTTTGAAAGAAGAAAATGGTTATAGGGAACAACATATTGATTTGTAACAACATGATGTTTACCATACCGATCGGTATATGCATGAGAATTTCCATATAAGTCAGGATTATTTTTGCGTTCAATCTCCGATGGTGGTGGAGGACGGCGTCGATATTTTGGGTAAGCATTGTCCGAATAGATGTTATTATCGGAATAGGCGTGCTAAATGAAAAAGATTAAACAATACATTTAAAAATTCTTACAGGAAAACGTTTAGCACATCTTCTTATTCCTTCTCGCAGGCAATGTTGATTACATGTATGAACATGCTTTGTCACAACAATTTGATGCAAAATCCGTTGTAAAACTGCTGATTCTCTGCGATCATCGGGTAGTGGTAAATCCGGTATTTCAGCAGAAATATACTGTGCCATGTATTCTTCTTTAGATGTTATACAGCCAGATTTGCGAATTTTTTCCCAATCCAAGATAACGGCGAAATGAACATGAGGAAGTCCACTAAAACGTAATATAGACATATAAAATAATAAAAACCGTTTCTGGTGTTCAAGACTATGAAACCATCCTTTGACAGGTCCAAGTACTTCACGCTCAGTAATGTCTTTTACAAGTTCTGCAAGCTTGTCGATAAAAATGCGACAGACTTCCATTGGACGGTCGGACCAATTTTGGTGTTCAAGAAGTATGTTGTCTAACTCAGGTGCAGCCGGATCCATAGTGTACGTGATAAGCAGATCGATAGAGCCAATTTCCCTGCAGATGGTCATGCAAGCAGCATACTGCTTTTGGTAATATTGTCTTGATCCTCTGAAATGTTCGTTTGTCATGTACACTTGGCCAATGGGTCCTTGTAGTCCTATAATTTATTTACATTATAATTATTTAGCATATTTATATGCCTTGTTTTTCCAATAGTTTTTTGAGCCAATCCATCAATGCAGCTTGACGCACATAACGGTACTTTCCTTGAAGTTGTTTCATATATTGGACTTTCTGAGCCTCCATTCTTTGATTGTACGTGATCGTGTAGAGCTGGGAAAGTTGACCCCACTCCCAAAGCCAATGTGGTGCTTTCCATGAGGTGCCTCTCTGTTGACACATGTAACGAAAGTATTGAGATCTCGAAACATATTCACGTCGATGTTCTTGTTGATTGTCAACGTCATGGAGGAACTCTTCGCCTTCTCCAAGATCGATTTCTGGGTCGAGTTCTCCATCACCTCCAACAATTACACGTCTTGATCCTTGCAAATTTTCTCCAGGTCGCAAAATAAGCTTTATAGCATTTTCTAAAAATTTATTTTTATTCAAATTTTAAATATTAAAAACCAAATCCATTTTGTCCTTTTGAATACAAAAGTGGGAAACACGCTGCATCAGCTGCACGATGCCACCATTTCAGACTAACTTGGCCAGTTCCCTTTTGTCCTGTAAGAATCACATCATAATTGCCTTCAGGTGGTACATTTTCCCCATTATCCAAATAAAATTGGGCGACAAGTTGGCTTCCTGCAGCAGTCTCCACACTGAGGCGTCCGGGATGAATTTGGTGTAAAACAGAAGCATCAGATGGATTAATGTCAAGTGGTGGAACCTAAAACATGTTATTAATTTAAAATAAAATTTAATAAATAACGTTTTCAATAGTGCGCTCGGTCCCGCGTTTATTGGCATCAACTACAAGCATTCGGAACTGAAGCTGTAAGTCGGCCGAAAGATCTTGATAAACGTCAGAGGCAATTTTGAAAAGCTCAGACATCCAATGATTTTGTTTCAAAATGTTAAACAGCTCTTGCAGAATAATAGGCTAAAAACGAAAATATTTTATAAATGTTTATGTGTTTAAACAAACATCTAATTCATTTTCAGTAGCTAAATCGTTTAGTCGGATATCAGAAGAATGCGGCGGAATTGTGTATAACTGGCCTCGTAATTCTGGTTGTTGTTGTCCACCAGGTTGGCGAAAATCAAACAGCATATAGTTAAACATGTTGTTTGTTTTGACGATCCGATATGAGTCAGAAAAGTCAAAAGTTCGCTCCATACGAATCTGGCCGAATGAAAGTTGGTCATTATAGCGTAAAACATTTTTCAAAAGACGGTCTCGTGTCGCAGAATTAGCAGGATTGTGTAACAGCAGATCGATGCCGATTGGAAGATCTTGCAATGAATTGAAGCGGTCATGTAAATTCACTCGTCCCTTTGCACAACATTTAACAAATGCGGAAGGACCAATTGTTTCCGATGGTAGCAAAATGGCCTTGCAAAAGGGACAGCGGCAGTCAATTTCTACATCATTCTATAAATAGTTATAAGTTACACGGTTTTATTAAAAATACTTTGTAAAGTGAATTGTAATATTTCGGCATGTGTTTTGAACTTTTAGCACCACATCCAATACCAGAATGAGAGTGATAACATTTATGACCAACCGGGCGGGTTGAAGGCCACTTATCATCAAAAGAAATTTCAGAAAAACGGGAAACAGTGCTTGAATGGCGTGTTGAACGACGTAACGTTGTGACAAAAATATTAGAGGACAGTGATACAGATGCTTAAATTAGAAAATGGACTTAACATAAAAATTTTATTACCAATATCGTCAAGTTCCAAGTCACGACAAATGCCTTGTAAAACTTCATTTTCAAAATCTTCCGACGACTGAGAAACGGGATCCAAATTCACAGGCTTTCTACCCGAACCATCACGTCTTTTCCTACAAGGCCTTCCTCGTTTACTTTGTACTGTATTATCTAATGAACAAAATAATAAAATTTTTTTGCTTGGATATTACCGTCACCAAAAACCGAAATATCGTCATGGCTATGTGAAGGTGTTGCAGGTATATTAAAGAGTTCAGAATTTACCGAGCCTAAATAACAGTTTTCATAAACTAAATAAATTATTATTAAATACTTTCATCTTCATTATCAACATTTACACGTTTTACAGGAACGGCACCAGCAGAACTAACTGAATCAGTTTCACTTTTTCTTTTTCTGTAAGCATCTTTCTTTTTTTCACTTCGTTTTCTATCTTTAGAAACCATTTTGAATAAATATTAAATAGAATTTTTATAGAATAAATAATTATTTATCTAAAAATATAAAAGAATAACTCATTATTGTATGAACAATCATTTTTAAAACAAACTAAACAAACGAAAAAAAGTAGAAAAAGATAGATAAATAAAAATGTTATTACTCGATAAAATTAAATTACAAAGATTAACATTTTATTTAAAGTGAAGAATTATTAAAATTTAACTACTCATGAAACATTCCGCTGTCTTCCTCTTTTTGAGGTTGACTTAGCCTTTTATCCATTACTGCCGAAAAACAGGATAAAAGTTGCCCAGTGCGCAGCCCGGTGCTATTCACCTTCGTGGAGGCTTGCGGAAACGCGCACCACCCTCCCCCGACAGCCGTTGATAACACTAAAACTGCCGGTTTCTCAGGGTCCCTAATTAAACAAATAACCTGTACACTTTATGAAATAAAACACTTTATGTAAAATAACACAAGTTGTAACACAAAAAACAAACTGTAAAAAGTATTTAAATAAAAAACACAAAAAAACTTTTATAAAGAAGAAAAAAAGTTATAATGCATTAAACAAATTGAATATTATTATACGCTAAATAAAAATATTCAAAATAGAAAATAAAAATAAAACCAACTCGAAATAAGTGAGGCAACTTATAAATAATTGAAACCCTTGCCAAATAACCAAATACTCGAGTCAATCAATCAATAATTAAGTAAACCACTATTAAAAACTACAATATTACATTAAACAAAAGCTAACCAACTTAGTAAATCGCAATCCAAAGCATTAAAATCGTTGATATATGTAGTAATATGAACAAAACATCATAATTGAACAACATAACAAAGTGAACCTGATAATAACTTTAAATTCAAGTATAAAAAATTAGAAAACAGAACAAAACTAACAAAAAAATTGGAGCAAACATAATTGATTGAAAATCGTTAAATAATAAGCCAGAAAGCAATACATGAAGCAAATTGATTGTTGTAAATAAAGTGTCGTAAGAAAAAAACTTAAAAATATTCGATTAAAAAACTATAATATCATTATAATCAGTTGAAATTATGCAATTAAAAACAAAAACAAAACATACATAAAATATACAGTTAAATAACATTTATTATCAATCATATGAGGCAATCAACCAAGAATTGAGCAAATCACTAATAAAAGCAATAATAATAAATTTAAAAAACGTTAACATATTGAGATTAGGTATAATCCAACACCATGAAGGATTTAACATAATACAATTATCATATAAACCGAACTGAACTAAAAAAATGTTAAAATTTTTAGAATTTTAAAAATACTCAAATATGCGTTCTAAGACTTTAACGTAAATTAAAATATTTTTTCCCCCAACTAAAGACAATTATTATATATTCGTAAATAAAAACCCGCATAGAAACAAATATTTAGAAAATAATTTAATTTTTAAGGGGTCATACCTCCGGCACTCAACATTTTTGGCACTAAAAAATATTTAATCCCATAATTTATGATGCGTTTTGAAGGCCTATTTATTAGCTTTCAAATGATATATAAACAACCTCAGTAGTATGATCTTAGACAATGTTATAATTGGAAAAGTCAAGGCAAGTCGAACCAAAACCGCGAACACGAATTTAGCCAAAAACTAATAAAAAAAATAATTAAATTTTAAAAAACGTTAACTAACTGTAATTATAAAGCAAAATGAAGCCAACAATAAAATACATTTAGCAAATCAATACAACTAAGCTAAAAAATGGATAAAATTTTTTAGACTTTTAAAAATACTCAAGTGTGCGTTCTAAGAATCTAATGACAATTAAAATAGTTTTTCCCAAATTAAATCAATCACTCAATATTCTTAAATCAAAAAATCGTCTTAAAACAAAAATTTTACAAAAAAATATTTTTTTATTTTTAGGAGGTCATACGAACGGCACCCAATATTTTTGGCACTAAAAAATTTTTTAATTTTATAATTTATGGTACGTTTTGAAGCCCTATTTATTAGCTTTCGAATGAGATATAAACACTCTCGGTACTATGATTATTGACAAAGTTATAAAAGAAAAAGCCAAGGCAAGTCGACCAAAAACCGTGAACACGAATTTAGCCAAATTTTCAATAAAACGGAATTTTAGTGAAACCAAGACTCTTAACGGTTAATTATGTTATTAATTATCAATATTATGATAAATAAGCTTATTTAAAACCATCCTTTTCAATTATACCCCAAAATTAAAAAAGTTACCCTGATATGTCAAACTTTCAAGCATAACTTTTTTCCCGTTAAAGATAGGGCTTAACCGTTAAAATTTGGGGGTTTATTAAAGGGGGGTAAAGTTTGGTCGAGGAATCCGAAAAACACACTTAGAAGTCCGTATCTCTGCTCAGAGACTCAGAAAACCCCCAAATTCTTCAAAAATTCAACTTGACAAAAATGTCTACTAAAGACTCAAAAACCCTCCCCTATACTGTTTTAGAACTTCTAATGACTAAATAAACATTTAAAATTTTTAACACTCAAATGAAACTTTTTAACCAACGTATCCAGTGTACAGCTCCTTCTTGTTGCATGTTCTGACATATTGATTGTAGACGATGTAGATGAACCATATTGCATGTTGACATAAAGTGATAATTTCGGATGCATGCCCAGTGGATTCAAACCGAGAGGACCAAACGTACCAGGAGTCTTACACCACATAGAGAATGCCATGAATCCACCAGACATACACCCTTAAAGAGTTATGGCCTGTGCATCCAATACATGATGCAAGAGTGCATGAACCTGTCCCTGTAGCTCTCGCGAACTACAGGTTGATAAGCGAACTTATCAACCAAGTTCATGCCTCCTGATAGCTTAGCCATCAGTTGGCTTTGACCCCCGGAGATCAAGGACCTGTTCGCACGCCTCGGGAGTTGCCACACCAGGGCGAACATCGAGCTGCCAGGTTTTATTCCGGTGCGTTTGGAATATGCCATCACACCCCATACGCTTCGGACGTCAGGGTGAGGTGAATAAGCCGAAGCTTATCCACGAACATGGCAGGGACTCCAGTGGGGCAGCATGGCCGGACATTCCATGCTTTTCTTACTCCGTACCGATGACCGTGTGATCCTTCAGAACTCAGCTAAGAGCCCAGAGACGAAGTCTCCGCATAGCGCCTTCGTTCATCCAGCACGGCCACCGGGCTCACCCCACCCGCGCCCTCCGAGAGCCGGGACACATTGGATGCACACCATCCAAAGGCTCACTCCCGTCGGGGGAAGTCATCCTATCTACCATAAAGGTAAACAGGTTCACTCCGATCCCCGAATTGGAAGATCGCACGTCCCTGCACTGGTGTGCCTAAGGGTTTTTCTGGATCCCGCTCAAACGGTCCCAACGGACCTCGCGGTACTACCCCATAACCAAAATTCAGAAGGAATTATGCTTAAAATACTGAAAAATTCCAAATCCATATATAAAAACTTAATTGAAATATTATATATTTCTACGATTTTTGGGTTTTTTAATTTCATTATAACTTTTTAACGGATCAGCCGATCTGGATGAAATTTGGTACGAATATGTAATCGAATATGGGGAATTTTTTAAAAAAAGTTTCACAAGGGTCAGTTGAGTCTGGGCCGTGATATTCGAGTCAAAGTGTCGAAAATGCTTGGAAATTTTTTCGGGTCAAAAAATAAAAATGTGATTTAAATAGCCTATCTTGTAGGGCATCTTTTGTAGACTCCAAAAATATATGGTTTGTACGGGGCACAATTGAGTCTCAGGGAGATATAAGTCGAGGAAATTATCTGAGACTCAAACTGTCATTTTGACTCTAACACTGAGGAAAAAATTTCTAAAATTTTTCTGACACCGGATTTGAATTCTCCATGTATTATTTCACTATAAAACACCTTTTTTGTAAAAATTTGGCAATTTTAGCCCACTAATTTTCAAAAGTATTTAATACTTGTATCTATTTTTTAGTGATTTTTTGACATTTAAACCGTAACAACTTTTTGACAGATAATCAGATCTGTGAGAAAATTTGTCAGAATATGAACTCAAATATGTGGAATTTTTTAAGATTTATTTCAACATCGTCGGTTGAGTTTTGACTTGAATATTCATGTCAATCGAAGTGGGCTTTTATAGTAAAATGATTTGTGGAGTGAGGAAATGAAAATATCTATTTTCTTTTGAGAAAGTTTTTATAAACAAAATTACCCCAAGGTTTTAGATACAGTTTTTGATGTTCTTTCGAATAAGCTATAGCTTATGAGAAGGGTCCCTAAATTCACAGAGTTACATGGCTTTGAATATTTTCAAATATAAATTAAAATTATAATTCAATCTGTTTTACTTTCTGAGAAAGTTTTTATAAACAAAATTACCCCAAGGTTTTAGATACAGTTTTTGATGCTCTTTCGAATAAGCTATAGCTTATGAGAAGGGTCCCTAAATTCAAAGAGTTACATGGCTTTGAATATTTTCAAATATAAATTAAAATTATAATTCAATCTGTTTTACTTTCTGAGAATGTTTTTATAAACAAAATTACCCCAAGGTTTTAGATACAGTTTTTGATGCTCTTTCGAATAAGCTATAGCTTATGAGAAGGGTCCCTAAATTCACAGAGTTACATGGTTTTGAATATTTTCAAATATAAATTAAAATTTATGATCCATCTATTTTATCTTTGAGAAAGTTTTTATAAACAAAATTACCCCAAGGTTTTAGATACAGTTTTTGATGCTCTTTAGAATAAGCTATAGCTTATAAGAAGGGTCCCTAAATTCACAGAGTTACATGGCTTTGAATATTTTCAAATATAAATTAAAATTATAATTCAATCTGTTTTACTGCTTTGTCGCAGTAGTCAAAATCGTATTTTTCTCATTTCGTCTTTATGTCGAAATATCAAAAAAAACTGATAAAATCTCAAAAACTTAATAAACGCTGTAGTACATTTTTCTCCCAGAAATAACTCACGTTAGGAGAGTTCAATTCTAAAAAGTGCTTCAGTTATTCGATGCAAAATTGAACCGAGCTTAGCAAAAATACTCGAAACCGGCCGACATTGTTTTGAGACACTTAGCACTCATTTTCGGTACGGTTTTACTTTCAGACTCAAATATCTCATTTGAGACTCAAGTGTCACCTTTGAATATATTTTTTTTGGAATCCACATACTCGATTACCTATTATAGGATCAAGTTCGAAAAACGCCTATCAGCACATAAAATTGACCCTTTTGTCCTGTGGCATTTAGTCTTCAGTTCCCATAAAATCTGTACAAAAAAACAAAAATGCCACCCCCAAAAAAGGGTTAGCCACGTGTAACTCAACAACGGCTTTTTTTCATCAGATGCGGAATTTATCAGGGGTGTGCCCTCCAAGCATAGTCGAAATCCTCCAGGTTCGGGATTATGTCGAAAGGTCTTTTCGAACTTCTCCATAATCTTCCTCTATGCTCCCATATATCCTCTCTCGAACAAAAAAAGTTTACCCGAATCCGACTTTCGAGTCGAGCCCTATTTTTTCTTTCCCGAAGTACCCAAAAAAGTGCAAAATTTTACATATAAAAATTTTTTGTGTGGTGTAAAAAGAAATAAAAAATTTAATCGAATTATGGCACTTTATGATGCCATAACTCCCGAACGGCGTAAACGTTTTTTACGAATTTTTCGTCATTCGATAGAGAAATTGAAGGCCTTTTAAATGTACTAAAATTTCGATTTTTAGAATTTCGACCTTATGTCGAAATATCGAAGAAAAATCAAAAAATCACTATTTTTTTCACTCAAGCGCAAATATCTCGTTTGAGGCTCAAACGTCCGACTTAAAAATATTTTTTTCGAACTCCCCATGTTCGATTACCAACTACAGTATAAAATTCAAAAATTGCATATTAGCACAAAATCGATCTATTGATGCGCCGACGTTTTGTCCTAATTTTCCCCTACTAAACCCCAACTTGCCACTACACCGGTTCGTTGTATCACTCATAACTCAATAACGGAAATTCCGTTTTTCGAGATCTTTTTTTTATTCGACGCGGAATTCAGTGAAATTTTAACCTTCGGGAAGGGTCGAACTCGTATGGATTTGGGATCAGGTCGAAAAGTCGAAAAAACGTTTTTTTCATTTGGTCGAAATAGACTTTTGACCAACCTCTTAGATCCGCTATCAAACAAAAAAAGATCTTTTTGATCCGACTTTCCGTTCTGCTCAAATTAGTTTTTAAATGTTGAGCATGTAAAATTTTTATGTCATTTATCCAAAAAATCTTAAAATTGAAAAAATGTAGTCAACAATTGACGTTTTACCCTCTCATAAATCTCGAACTTGTGATCCGTTTTGCATAATTTTTTCGTCTGTCTATAGAGTTTCAAACGGCCTTTTAAATGAACTTAAATTCATATTTGTTGGATTTCGACTGTATGACGAAATGTCGAAGAAAACTCAAAAAATCATTGTTTTTTACACTCAGACTCAAATAACTTTTTTGAGACTCAAGTGTCCGACGTAAAAATATTTTTTTCGAACTCTCCGTAGTCGATTACCCATTATAAGATCAAGTTCGAAAATTATCTATCAGCAGTTAAAATTGACCCTTTTGTCCCGCTGGCATTTTGTCTTCAGTTCCCATAAAATTACACAAAGAAAAACAAAAATGCCCACCCCAAAAAATGGTTAGTCACGCGTAACTCAATAACGAAAGGTCGGATTAACCTGATCTTTTTTTTATTCGATAGGGAATACACTGGGTTTGTGCCCTCCAGGCAGGGTCGAAATCCTCCGGGTTCGGGATCATGTCGAAATGTCAAAAAAATTTTTTGACATTTTCGTCACAATCGACTTTTGACCAACTTAAGTCGACTTTTGGAACTTCTCCATAATTTTCCTCTATGGTCCCATTCATCCTCTCTCAAACAAAAAAAAGTTTGTCCGGATCCGACTTTCGAGTCGAGCCCTATTTTTTCTTTCCCGAGGTACACAAAAAACTTAAAAATTTTGACAAAAATTTCTGTCAAATTTTGACACTTTGGGGGGCCATAACTTTCGAACGGCTGGTCCGTTTTTCAAAATTTTTCCGTCAATCGATAGAGAATTTTCTTCTCTACCGCAGTAGTCAAATTCGATTTTTTTGCATTTCGGCTTCATGTCGAAATGTCGAAAAAACTGACAAAATTGCAAAAATGCAAAAAAAGTGGGTAGTACCTCTTTCTAACAAAAATATTTCGGGTTAGGGAAGTCGATTTCGAAAAAGTGCTCCGGTTAATCGGTGCAGAATTAAACGGGCTACATTTCTTCTCCCGGACCCTTATTTTTCCAATTTCGTTTTTGGACATTCATCCTCAGTTTCGTGTTTCGCAATTTCGACATTTCGATATTCCCGAAATTTTCGAAATTTGACCTCAACAGACTTTTTGTAGCTAACTGAATTTCCGGTTCAACAAAAAAAAATTTATGCAAATCGGACACTCAGAAAAAAAGTTATTAAAAAAAAAGCTACTTTTTGGTAAAATTTTTTTATATATAGATAATTTTTTTTACTTTTGATAATTTAGTAAGTCTAACTCCTAATTATTAACTGGCATTGCCAGCTTCCAAAAAATTACATAGCAAACGTATCGATCATAAATCCAAATATTAAAGATCATTTTAATTTTAAAGTTTATTTAAAAATTAATAACTTGCAAATTATTCAAATTCTTATCTTAATTTACCTGAAAACT